AGGGTGCTTGGAGTGGAGTCGTGTGTGACCAGTGGACAGTCTCCTGTCCCGCAGAGCTGCTCAGTGTCACATGACAGGTGGCCAGGTCAGAGCAGCCTGTCTGGAAGGCGAGGTCAGAACCCCTGGGGCCAGGCCTCATCACAGCCTAGGAGTCAGCCACGTCCAGCAGGAGGGGTGGGGGGTGGGTCCACTGCGGTCTTACAATTTTTCTGTAAGTTTGAAATTCAAAATAAAAATGGGGGGAGAGCACTTGTTAGTTACTCTGAAGAGGCGCTTACCGGCTTTATAATTCAAGCCCCAGTACAAGACATCCAGGAGGCCCTGCACGACTCCAAAACACACACTGCCGGCTGCAGATGAGGTCTCCGTGGTCACCAGAGCCACGGCGAGACCTGTGCTGGGCGCCAACTGACTGACTGACCTGCGGGGCTGGGCCTGCTGCCTGGACCCTCAGGCCGCCCAGCCCCAGGGGTCTTCTCCTCCTCAAATCGCTCAGGGCCCACACTTCCGTGCCCTGCTCTGTGGCTCCATCTCCCTAACTCCGGTCGGAGCTGGGCACAGAAGGTTGCGCCATCTCCCTGCCAGGCGGTGCCCGGGTGCCTGCCTTGGCACCTACATCTGCCCTTCCTGCCCTGTGGGCAGGTGGCTCCACGTGGTCCTCCTCTGGGTCTCCCAGCACAGAGTCGGTACCCAGCGCTCGCCACATGGCTGTGATGCCCAACTTCGTGCTCCTCAGGGAGGTGCATGACCGCACTGTCTCACAGCTGGGGAAACTGAGGCTCCGAGGCCTTATCTGGCTGCCAAGTGATGGAAACGGGCTCCCTGCAGCCTGACCTCGCTGCCTCTTTGAGGCCCAGGGTGAGGGCGTTGGAGCTGAGAGACCTGAGTCGTCACCAGTAGTGCCTTCTCTCGAGCAGCAGTCAATCCGTGGTGCAGCTGTGCAGACACAGGCAGCAGTGTGAGCGTCTGTGTGAAATTTTAGGGTTTGAGAAAAGTTCCACTCATACCAGCTGGCACCTTGAGCAGCCGGGAGCAAGCTACCGACCCAGCTGTGATTCATGGCGCCCTTCACCACTGTGTGAGAGATACCTCTGAAACGCAGAATGAAACTCAGGTGCCATTTCGAGAAGACCTATCGAGGGCCTTGGGTCATGAGGGGAGGCTCTGTTGTTGGGTAGTGTACAGGGACGTGATGGGTAATATGGACCCGAGGACAGCAGTGGCGCAGGGGTGAGGCACCGGGTGCCTTTGACATCATCGGCCACAGCATAACCCAGGTGGCCCAGGCCTCGCCTCTGACTGAGGATGGGCTTGAGGGCTCTGGCCAGCCACCTCCCAGAGGACAAGTCCAGTTTGCACCACGAGAGCACCTTCAGTTTACTCAACCTGGACCCAAGGCCCATACCATCCGCTGGGACATCCGGGGGCCACCCGGCGCTAAGTGCTGCCCTTCCCGAACGCTCTCGGTGCTGCTGACAACTCCTCTGTGGGCTCAGACCTTCGCTGTGCGGCCCTGGGGGTAAATCCCCACACTGACCCAGCCCGCCTTATCAGTGCAGGCCCAGCTGGGCTCCAGGGCTGCTTCCTGTGCCCTGCGCTCAGCTCCCCACTGCCCCTGGACATTCAGGACAAGATGGGGCTCCTCAGGCCCTGCTAGGGTGACATTACAGCAGATGGTGCTGATCCCAAAGCCTACAGCATCTCAGAGCGGCTGGTGAGTGAGGGGTCATGGTGCTGATGATGGTGGTGTTCCTGGCTCGGTCGTGGCCCCTCTTCGGGACTGCTCGCCCTGGGCACCTCTAAAGTGCCCGCTCTCAGGGCCTACGAGGGAAGGGCTAAGGACCTGAGCTTGCGCGGCTGCTCTGAGCTGTGGCAGTGAAGAACCTGGCCACCACCACTACCGCCTCCCGGCTCGGGCCCAGCATCTGCTGTCAGCAACACTGTCACACAGATGACGCGGCCCCTCAGGGACACAGGGCCTGACTGCACTTCAGAGGGCAGCGGAGGACTTGGCCTCTGACATCTGCTTTTGCCGCCAGCCAGGAAGCCGGGACCCTCCAAGCGTGCCATTTTGCACCTTCACCGCCTCCCTGACGACCAGGAGTCTGCGGGTTACACCGCTCCTTGCCTGTGGCTGTGCCCCTCCTCATCGCTGCTCAGGCCCTCCCTGGAGACCGCAAGTCCTGGGAATGGCTGGAGAAGAGAGATGGACCGGGCCTGCATCTCGGGCGGAAGTTCTCCTCTCTGGCCAAGGTGGCCTACTTGGTGTTGAGAGGCGCTGGGCTGAGGCCCATAGGTGGGGCCTGCGGGGACAACCAATGTGTCTCCAGGCTCCTCTGTTGGAGCTCCAGGCACTGAGCTCCAGCTCTCCTAAGACAGGTTCTTATTTCCTTCGCCTCTCAATCCTGCGGCTTGGATCCCCCACAGGCATCTCCATGGACCCCAATACGTACATCAGCAGGTGCCCTCTTCCAGCTTGAACCTGAGCCCGGCTGTACTGCTGTTTGGGACCAGGGTGCCTCGCTTCCGGCCTGTCTCAGGACAGCACACCCGGGCACCGAGGCAGCAGTAGAGGAAAGCCTTGGGGGACTACAGCCTAACTCCGAGGGGAAGGTCCCTCGGGGACACAGCAGCTTTGGGTCTGGAGCTACGTGAACGGAGAGGTGGTGTGGTACACTGGAGGGGAGTTCTTAACTGGGAACCGTACGGGCCTGAACTTAAATCCTCCTGCGCTTGGTGACTGGAAAGCTTTGGATAAGCTACTCAGTCTGGGCCTCAGTTTTCCTCTGTTCAGTGGCACTGATGCCTCCCTCCAGATGGCTTGAGGGCTAAATGGGATAAGCACGTGAAGGTGTGGGGCATATACTGCATTAGGGACTTACTTTCAAAAAATAGACTTTTAATAGACATTGAATTGGAATGGTAAAAAAAAAAATCTGCTCACTCAAAGCGCCGTGATTAACACAATGCAGCGCTGAGCTCATTCTGGGCACCTGAGCAGCGCTGTCCCCTCAGGCTGGAGGGGAACCTGTCGTGTAGATGGTGTAGGGACAGAGGTGGAAGCCACTGGAGTCTGCGCCCCCAGGATTGAGCCAGGCCAGACAGCTGCGGCCAGGACTCGGAGCCCACCCAGCCGCAGCCCAGGTCCCACACAGCATCCAGGCCGGAAGTCACCCGTGTCCCAGCTTCTCCAGGCCATGCAGTGCTGTGGGAGATGTGGGATGGTCAGGCTGAGGCCTTCACCTCAAACACACACACACTTCGAGTCCAGCTGCCTCCAGAAGCTGCCCAGGGCTCTGCTGTGTCCCCTCTCTGTGGAGGTGCAGACGTGGGAGCTGCAGGCTAGGTTCACCCTCCAGGTCGCCGCCCCTGCCTGGGAGGTACTGAGCCGGCCCAGCTGGCAGGGAGGTGGGCAGGGGAGGGAAAGGGGCCATCCTGGCATCCGGGGGAATTGGCCATCGAGCTGGCCTTGATGCTGTGGAGAGAACACTTTACACACGATGGTCTTTTCCTCAGAACGTTGGGTGGGCAGATTTAGCAAATAAAACTAGGCACCCACAGACGCTATGGGGTGTACTTAAAAGTGTGTGTGAATATACAGACCCTCATCCTCCTCTCTGCTTCCTGTCCACCACACCCTGAGCAGCTCTCCTCCGCCAGACCCTTTCATCATGCCCTTCTTAGAGGGAGCCAGCCAACCAGTCATTGGACCCTTTAAAATCCAAGAGCCAAACAAACCTCTCCTGTGGTGGTTAAGTATTTTGTGGGCAAGACTGTCTAGCGTAGCTTTATTCCAACTGCCAGACCTTGGAGCAACAAGGGCCCTTCGGCAGGCCAGGGGTCAGTGAACCACAGCACAGCAGACTGGACATCACCGCGTCCCTCCTGGAGGAAGGGGACTCCCAGACCGGGAAGGCAGGGAGGGCCCGAGAGACAGGGACAGGCGAACATGCGCAGCGTGAGGCCCAGCGTTCCGGAAGAGGAAGGTGCACAGGTAAATGCCAGCGCCGCCGCTGCAACGGTTAGGGCGGTGGGGCCGCTCCGCGCTGTGCACAGGGTGGGCGAGGGTCGCTGACCCTGGTCAGACCACGGGGCGCGGAGGTGACTCCGTTCCGAAACAC